CACCTTCACTTTTAAGCTAGTAAATGTGAATCATGGACTTATAAACGGAAGAATTTTAAAAATGATACTTTTAAATATATTTTTCCAAAAATACCACCGTGAATTGTATATATTTAAAAATACCATAAGTTAAAGATTTTTTAAAACTTAAACCCTAAAATTATAAACTTTAAAAAGAGTTTTGACTCTAACAGACCCTAAACCCAAACATAAATAATATTTTGAATAAATGATATAATATTAAAAACAATTTTGAATTTTTTTGAAAAAGTGATATTTTTGAAAAATGGAATTTCTCATGATAAAAATGACTAAAAGCATGTGTGATTAGCATTTTTCCGATCAGAAGTAAACTATTTTTGTAATGTTAAAAATCATTTTGAGGATTTTAGAATGAATTATAATTTTCATAGGACAAATGTTTGTGTTGGTTCTTTTACAAAAAAAGAAGGTCGAACATGTGATTATCTATTATTTCATGTAAATCATGTAAAATCAGTATAACTTGTCTCTGAAACAATAACTTTATCGGTTAAACTTGAATTAATAAATAGAGTTTCGTTGGAAGAAAAAAAGTGAAACCATGGACAATTGCTTTTGGCCACTAGCAACAAAGTTATTGATACCACTGCAATCTCCAAGAACATAATATGGCCCGACACGAAGATAACAGTCGCAACCTTTCATATCTTTCTGCGTTTAATTTATGTACTCGATAGATTATTTGTATTCTTACATTACAAGTAGTCTTTAATTATTGAATTGATCAAAACAGCAAATAAATACGCTTTGGCCTAAAAACACAATCATTTGTAGGATGGGTAATGATCTAATAAACAATATTTAGTTCCTAATCTCTTTTCCGCTTTCTTACTTCGAATCCCAACTTAGTCTACTATTTGTTTTGGCAGTAGCAATAAACTATAGAATTTTTAAAGGTAGAGTTTTACTTGCATGTGTTTAAAGAACTAATTTTAAGAGAAACAATTCGAGTTCATGGAAGATTTTATCTATCATTTTTAAAACTTGTAGTAAACATGTTTGTTTTTAGCTAGGTTGTAT